GCTTTCCCAAGGGCTCCTGGCTCTGCTGAGGCTGAACACAATAGGCAGCCAGTGAGGTCTTCTTCGGCAGCTGGTAGTGACCTGCATCTCCATGGGAGCCAGCTAAGGCAGGACAGGTGGTGGCCAGTGTCTCTGGACCCTGAGGCTGTGCCAGGCCACCTCTGACATGAAGCAGCCACAGGAAAAGCCTTTTTATCTCTGTGGAGCAGGATGTGGTGTTTATGCTGTCTCATTGGGATTAGGGCTTTGTTGTGTGTTTGAGAAGGGTTTGAGCAAAATCCGCGTTGACTTTCCTAAGCAAGAAATGTCCAGCGTCATGATGTCAGGGCTACCAGGTAACTCACTGGAAGAATGGGATATATGGGTGGTACCTGGAAAGGGGACCTAATGTGTGTTCCTACTATACACCAGCCCCAGGGGTTGATACTTTTGTGCATTGCTTACTTGATTTACACTGATTCTTTGAGGCAGGTATGACTTGCCCAGTTTTACAGATGAGGCCATGGAGTTTGGGAGGTAGTGACTGTCTCTGGTCACACAGAGGGTACTAGCAGGAATTATGTGGGCTCTAGCTAGTTGAATCTGGGCTTCCTTTGGTTGCCAGGTCAGCAGCTCGTTGTGTGTACTCTGTCTAGATCTGATGGGGCCGGAGCCATCTTCTGCCTTCTGGTTGGGGGATGAAGTTCATTCTCGCAGATAGGGAATGAGTAGAACAGTGGCATGAGAACGATAGCCCCATTCATCAGTAAGACAGTAAGCATTTATTGAGTATCTGTTGTGTGCACTGTTCTAGTCACTGCGGACACACCTCCCTCGGGAAGCTGTGTTCTAGTTTCATGAAGACAAACACAGGAACAGTTAACTAATTGGGGTCGTGATAGAGGATAGCTGGGTAGCTGCTTTAGGTGAGGTGGTCAGAGAGAGCTCCTGGAGGAATGAAATCTGAGCCAAGACTCAAATGATGAGAGCGGGACAGCCATGCAGAGATCTGGGGGAAGAACTTGCCAAACAGGAGGAAGAGGTGTACCAAGACAGACACAGTGGTGAGCTTGTAGTGGCCAAGAGAGAGGGAGACCACCAGGGCGGCTGGGGCTCTAGTTCTGAGTGTGTTGGGAAGCCACTGGAGAAAGTTAATTAGGAAAGAGAGATGGTCTGAGTTGCACTTTGCTCTGACTGCTGTGTGGAGCAGGGCTGTGGAGAGGCAGGCGAGGAAGGGGAGACAGGGAGGGAGCCATCGCAGTCTTTGAGTTGAGGGGAGGAGGTGGGGCCTGGGACCAGGGTTGTGGCAGGAGATATTAGTGGAACCAGGCCATCTTTTGGAGTTAGAGTCAATAGGGCCTACTTATGATTAGGACAGTGGTGTGCTGGCAAACCACCAAGGGTGGGAGGCGGGCCCTTGTTTGTAGTTTGCCAGTTTTTGTGGTGTAATGTTCCCACCATGGCTGGTTTCAAGCTACCAATCTGAGCAGTGAACAGCGCACACAGCCAGCTCTGCTGAGCAAGTACGAGCCAGCCCTGTGCACACTGAGTTGGGCTGTGGAGGCTGAGGAAACAAGAGCTGAAGAGCATTCCAGGGTCTTTGGTATGAGTCCCTGAAGGGGTGGTAAGGCCATCCACTGAAGTAGGATAGGCCAGAGGTGGAGAGAAATCCCATGGGTGGTGCTGGGAAAACATGGGTCTGTTCTGGCCATGTTAATTTGGAGATGCACATTAGACACCTGTTTTGTAAGTTCTGGGCACTTGCATACTTAATCTCATTTAAATGTTAATCCTTTCAATATCTATGAGTTTAGTCGTTTCTTCTCTGTTCACAGAACAATAAACTAAGGACGAAAGGCTGTATAGCCAGTAAATGACAGAGCTGAGTTTGAATGTAGCTGGGTTTGACGATCCCCCAAGAACCAATCATTTGCATAGACTGCCCCCTAGAAACAGTCCCATCCTCAGCTCGATGCTACATTTTGGGGATTTTAAAAGTTTTGGAACAGCCTTCAGACCTCACCAGAAATTACAGAATGGTTGCCCAAAGACCATAACCCCCTCCCCCTCAGATGTATTGTGTGGCTTTGTTTTTAAGGGGTGGGGTGGGAGGGGTGGGGAGGAGAGACTATGCTTCATTTTGTTTTATTGGCCTGTATAGTGTTTTGTAAAAAAATGAAGAAGAAGAAAAGAAAGAAATGTAATTGCTTTAGGCAAGTCTGCCCTCCCGCCACTGCTCTTGGGCTCCTCCACTCCCTGCTGTCTCACCACCTGCCCACTTTGCACGCACGATGCTCTCTTGGCCCAGGAGGCATTGCATGTCCCTTGCTCTAGAGGAACCCAGGCCGAGTAGCCTCTGCAGGCTGGTTCTTGGCTTGGTCCTTGGCCTCAGGGAGTGAGCACATGGCTCCCACCCCATCCCAGGCCTGCGCCTGCGCCGCGGCGCCCTAAGCTGCCTTTGATGCCTTGCACGCTGTGCTGCTTCCTTCCCAAACAGTGCCAGCTACCGAGGGCGTCACTGTACTTCCGCGGTAAGAACTGGAGTCTTCCTGACTCAGTGCATACTGAAACTATCCGACCTCTGTCCCTAGCTATATTATTGTTATAGTTTTACTAACAAAACGAAGCTTGAAGGTGGTGTTTTTTCTGTCTGCAGCCTTTTGGCCTTCTTTCTGGTGATATAATCAGTTTAATGGTGTACTTCACTGTCACCAGGCGTGGCTGGAACTGAGTGAAATGCCACCGTGAGGTAGTCCGACAGGAGCACACAGCCAGCCTGGTAGCTGCGTCTGCCTGGCTCCCTTGGACTGAGAGACCTCTGTCCCTAACTGGGCGGGGCTGGGCCTAGTTACCTGAAGAGGCATAGCAGGATTAACAGGAAGGTCTCACCCCAAAGTTGGCATGGCCAAGTACCCTTGAGTACTGCTCCAGGGCTGACGGTACTTTCCAGAGCCAGGGAGGGAGGCCAGCCTACTTCCGTCTGGACAGTTTATATGTTCCAAGTGCAACCAGAGAGGAAGGTTTCCCCAGGCTCAGGGCCATGGCCAGGATGGAATAGGATAGGTAGAGATACACCTACAGAGTGACAGAGTGCTCCAGAGGTTTTTATTTATGTACCTCTTTAGTAAAAGATGTTTGAGCTAATGTGTGTGTACATATATTGTATATGTATATGTACAATATATACCCTAATATATATATTTATAAAAATATAGAGATTATGTGTATTTAAGTACATACGGACAAACAAAAAATATAAAAGTTAACTAAAAATTATTGCAACCAGAAATATAGAAATGCAATGTCTCCTCCCATGCCTCTGTGGATTGTGATGGTGTATCCCTCCTGCTCCCCCCTACCCCAGACTCGAGGCTGCTGGCCTAGGGCACCAGTACAGTGGGAAGAGCACTTGGTGGTCAGAAAGCCTGGTTCCAAGCCCCAGTTCTGCTAACTGTTTAATTATTTGCAGTGTGCAGTGGGCACATCTCCTCACCTCACTTCCTTTAGGTCAGTGTAAATGTCACCTTCTTAGGTCTTTTCAGACAACCCTATTAAATTAGTACCCTGCTGTTATCAGCCCTTCACTCAACTCTGCTTTATATTTCTTTTTAATTTTTTAAATTTCAGTATGTTACAGGGTACAAATGCTTGGGTTACGTATATTGCCTTTGCCCCACCTGAGTCAGAGCTTCAAGCGTGTCCATCCCCCAGACGGTGTGCACCACTCCCATTAGGTGTGAATATACCCATCCCCTCCTCCCCCTCCCATCTGCCCGACACCTGATCAATGTTATGCACTATATGTGTACTTAAGTGTTGATCAGTTAATACCAACTTGATGATGAGTACAGGTGGAGATTGTTTTTTCATTCTTGTGATACTTAGTAGACTGGGCTCCAGCTCTATCCAGAATAATATCTGCTTTATATTTCTTAAAAGTGGTTTGTGCTCTCTGACATGTTGATCTGTAATGTTATTTGCTAGCTATCTTCCCCTGTGTGTGCTCCATGAGAGCAGGGATTGTCTGCTGTTCTCTGCTATATGACCAGCACATAGTAGAAGCTCAATAAATATGTGTTGATTGAATGAATTAACTTTCTCTTTATATAACCTAATGCTAATTAGTAAACTTTTATAGTGGAGGAGAAATGAAAAATGACCTTAATGCTTGAAAGAAGGATTTGGAGGGTGGAGGTGGAATCATTTTGAGGAATATCTGCTTTGTTGGAAGACCCTATTGTTGTCTTCTTTGTGGTTGAGAATTAGGAGCTGTACGTAATTGAATCTCTGCTCACTACCAGATACTGTTCTAGGAGGGAGGATGAATAGATAGAAAGAATTTAATCCGAACAATAACCCAGGGAGATTAAGTTCCATTGTCTCCATTTTATAGATTTAAAAATATATATATTTGAAGCCCCAAAACTCAAGTGTATCTGTTTTCAAAGTGCCTAAGACCATGGCTGACAGATGGCAGGTGCCCGGGGAGTGTCTGTGGAATGAAAGAAACCCCAGCTCGTCAGAGCTTCCAGTCTTTCCCACAAGCAGAGGATGGTGACTGTGTGCCCAGGGAGGTCCAAGGGCATCTCCTGCAGCAGCCCACCTGAAGCCCAGAGTTTCTTTGACATCTGTCTTTTTATTTTAAAAATCCATGTGAATTTTTGTATTCTCCTTCATATAGTTAAATAAACTCCTCCTGTTTGTCTTACTATAAAAATGATGCTTTTGATTATTTTAGTCACTTATATTACATAATATTTAAAAAAAAAAAAAAAACTTCAGTGAAAGCTGCTGTTGTGGGTTCACCCCAGCAGTGGTGTGTTCCTGGTGTAAGCTTTGTGCACCCAGGAGCCATCCAGCCCAGTCTACAAAGGCCACAGTGGCGGCTGGTCAGAGGCCTGGTCTCTTCCATGCCCCACAGTGGGATCTTGTGCCACTTGTCCCCTGTGCAAACAGAGCTTGTCCAGAGGAGGCGGGACGTTCACTTCCAAGCCCCAACCATCTGTTGTTTCAGACCAGGGTGATGGCTGCGCCTGGGCGAATGGAGCCTTCGGCAAACAGTGCCTTACCCAGTCCCCTGATAAGGGGTTACCTCTCAAGCAGGTTTTATAGCTCTGCCCTTTATCCACCATCAGAGAGTGGGCGGGAGAGACCCAGAGAGTACAAAATATCCTGAAGCTGTTGGAATAACCTTTATGGTTTGTTTTATATAAACCAGAGGTCCGGCGTGGTATGTGAAATGGACCACTGAGACTCAGCCCGCAGGACTTTGATGTTGTGTAGCTAAGGGCCTCTGTTTGGGTTAATGCTTCAGTGACTGGATTTCTGAGCATCTTCTTTAACAGGAGTAAAAGCTCCAGGATTTATGCTGACTCTTAGGTAAGGTTTCTCTTCCTGTCTTTGTTTGCCTTTTCCTGGAAACTGAGTCCACATACGTCCAGGGTTAGACAGTGTTTTATAACTGGAAGTTGTTTTTGAAGGATAGCTTTAAAAATAATAATAATAATAATAAAATAAATAAAACTGGAAGGCCTCTTAGAGACCATCCAGCCCTTGCATTCCCCAGATGGCAAACTGAGGCACAGAGACAGAAAGGAAGGCCCCACACTATTGTGATCTGTCATTGTGCACCCTCACAGCCTGGAGCTATGTAGTTGGTGCCTGGAATGTCTGTCCCTGTTGGGAAACAGCCGAGGCCTTATTCATCTTTTCTTACTTGGTTAATCCCCACTCCACGGATACATCACATAGTCAGGGCCCAAAGACACAGGAAACGGTGAGGAGAATGAGGATGTACAAGTCCCAAAACAGGATGGCACCCTTACCTGGGCGGTTTGGCTTACTCTGTATGTGAAAGACTTGGTTGGTCCATGTTCAGACTGAGCCCAGCACTCTCCATGGCTGGGTCTGGTCCTTGGCTGACAACTCACCTCCCAACCCTCTGAACTCTAAGGGGGAAGGCTTCGAGAGCCATTGGTAGGTAGGTTCAGAGCAAAGTCATTCTTACCTAGGGTAAGGACCCCCTTCATTCAGGTCTCTGCCCAAGTGTCACCTCTCCCAAGAGGCCTTCCATGACACCCTGTCTCAAATAGGAGTTCATATCACTTGCCATCTTCACACTCTCTGCTTAATTCTTCATTTCTTACCACCTCTCGTGTATTTATTTGTTCATCTTCTGTATTCCTTTTCTAGAATATATGTTCTCTGAGAGTCTGTTTTGTTCGCTGCTGTATCCCCAGCACCTAGAGATGTACGTGGCATGTTCTCTGTGAGCAGGGAAAGGAGACATAGTAAGACTTGGGGAGCAACTGGGAGGAACTGGGTTCAGGGAGAGTGTGAACACCCCTTTCCAAACCAGCTTAAATAAATCTGAATGTAGACTGTGTGTGAATAGGGCTTCTTCAAAGGGTTCATCTGTGATTCTTTCAAAAATTCCCAGGCTTGGTATGAGGCCCTGGCATCTGAAGTCAAGGGTTTTGATTCCCCAGTGGTCTAACCTGCATATCCCAAGGGGCCTCTGCTCCTTTGAGGCTCATTATCCTCCCCATCTGGCAGGATGGGGCCCTTGGCGGGATGGAGCCCAGTCCCAGGAGAAGGTGTGCCTCAGTTACAGAGCCATCTCCATGGCTGCCTGCCAGCACTTTTCCCATCTGGTTGGCAGATCAGAGAGAGAAAGAGAATGTGGGAGCTGGAGGAGCCCCGGGCCATCTGGTCCATTCCCACCTAAGGACACATAGCAAGGCACTGGCAGATGCCTGCTTTTAAAAAAAAAAAGTTTATTTTTTACTATTGCTGATGTTCTGATGCTCCCTCCCTCCTACAGCCTCCCCTACAAAAAAAGAAAAAATGCCCCAAAGCTTAGCAAGGACCCCCTAGGGCTTGCTCCAGCAGATTGGCCCTCTTGAGCCTTGTAGCCCCGAGAAGTTCATTCATCTTCAGAAATGTGCCCAGTGAGACAAAGGGGGTTTCTGGCCAGAGAGAGTGGCTCAAAAGAGTCAGGCATTTCCCAGGTTTGTATTCCTTGGAATTCTGGCTCTTTGAGTTTTTAATGCGTGTTCTATCTCTCTCCTCAAAAGAGCTGTAAGGTCAAGTAGCATACAAAATGCTGCCTGCCATAAAAACTCTTGGAGAGATACAATGGACTTTAGCATAGTAAAGGCTCTGAGAAGTTCTGTAGTTAAAAACAAACAGCAGCACTTTTTGTATAATTCAGAGTTTCCCACCCTTGTCTGACCACAGAACTCTTTTTGCATGAAAAACTACTAGACTCTCACAGAGCTCATCTTCCTCCAGCCACAGACCCACCGTATCACTGAAGGCAGTATCCAACTTTTACTTTTTATTTCATACAGTCCTGGTTTTTCCTTACTTTAGTAGTACAATATATTGAAAAAAATATGACATACAGGCCTTCTCTAAAGGGGTGGGGGTTAAGGCCCTCCAGCCAAAATTTTATTTCTTCTAACCAGAAAGACAACTTCATGAAGACATCTCCCTTTCTTTATATCCTTGTGACTCTTTGTTGTCCCAAGAGCCTACAGGCTCTTTCCATTTTGTGAGTACAGCAAAACACATCCTCTATACAAATGGCTTTCAGAACAGGCCAGAAGGAATTCGCCATTAGGAAAATCCATCAGCGATGCTCACATAGCATGAGAGAGAGTACCCATCCACTAAGTGGATTTGAATCCTGCCAGCACCCGGAAACATCACTTAATCTAGCTGTATATTTCCCCACCTGTAAAATGAAGTGCTCATAGTACCTGCCTAAAAGTTGTTTTGAGGATTACATGGGATCCATGTTTAACATTTAGAATGATGTCCAGTGCAAAGCCAATACTTATGAACACTTATCTATTACTATTATTATCATAGAATGAGAGCTGTATGTTGACAGCAACTTTGTTTTGTTCACTGCTGTGCTCCTAGTGTCCAGATAAGGACTGGCACAAACTAGATGCTTAGTAAAGATGGGTTGAGTGAATGAGTGAGCAATACAGTAAGTGGAGGGTCTTCCATGTATAGAGAACACCCACATTTCTGAGCGTCAGATTGCAGCAGAGTGGGCACCAGGTTAAAAGTGAGTGGCTTGCCGCAGGGCGAGGCTTTGCTTCCTCTTCCCTTCCCACTCTGTGTATGAATGAGAAGCCAGCACTTAGGAGACGCACCTCACGGTGTGGAACTCAGAAGCAGAGCGTGAGGTGGTTTCCTGGAAGGTGACAGTGTCATCTGAATGTTTCAGACCTCGAGGTTCCAAGCCCTGTGGATTTCTATTCCTGGTTACTATACACAGGTCTGTGCCTGCTCAGCCAGAGAGTTGCCAGTGTGAGTGCCATCCGCCCTTGGAGTCTCCCGGGGAAGATGCTGCCTTCGGAGCTGTCTTCGGAGCCGCCTTTGAAGCAGTAATGGCCCTAGCTGTCAAAGGGGGACTGAGAGCCCCTTGGCCACCTTGACACTCTTGTTCACCACAGGCTCCGTGACCCCTCTTCTGCGGGTTGGCACCATGGAATGGCATGCGAACCCTTGGCCTGCTGGTGTTGATTTTACCCTCTCCTAAGGAAACATAACGGAGGCACTGGACCAAAATAAGCAGCCCAGACGCTGTGCTGTCCCAGCTCTGCTGGGAAGTGTGGTATTGATTTGCCCCCAGCCTCTCTTTGCCTTCGTGACCTAAACTCTGCGTGGGGCTCCAGAGCTGGGAGGTTGATTCCACTCCATTTCATGGCAGTTGTGTTCACCCAGCAACCCACACGGACATTGTTTATATTCCTAAAGGAGCCAGAGTTTGCCCAGATTTAGGTATTTTTAAGAGCTGAGAGTGGCCCTAGCTGCCCAGCCCTCCTGGTCTGGTTGGAGGTGGGGAGGGACACCCCAAGGATAGTCTGCCTGTCTCACTCTCTCTGGCTGGAAAACCCAGGGGCAACTGGTCCAGAGAGTGGCAAAGGCCTGAGCAAACACTCGTGCAGCCAGCCAGGCTCCTGGCCTTGGCCTCTGGCCCAGAATGTCCTCAGGCTGGGAATCTTCTGGTCAGTGGGGTGGGGCATATCGGGCTGCTCTCTGGAGAGGGGGTGAAAGACATACTCAAGGCCTGCAGCTGAATACTGTCTTTCAGGAAGTGCAGCTGGAGAGAGGGGTTAGCTGTGAGTCAGCCAGGCCTGTGGTTCCTCGGGCTCACCCGTGAGGTTCTAATAGCCAGTTTGGGGAGATCTCGTTGACAGCCTGCATGAGCCTGTGAACTGTTTCAAAGCTGATCCAGCTTCACAGTTCCACAGTTTCCTTTCCCCAGTCCCTGTGTGGTTTGCCTCTCCGGTCCAGGGAGTCCTCTGTGAGGGTACAGGAGTTCTTGAGGGAGTGTGGTTCAGAATAGGGCCAGCCCCGCACTCCTGTTCCACACTGGGCGTGCAGGGAGCCCTTTCCACCTCAGTGATCCTCCAAGAGAATACATTCTGGCCCAGGAATTGAGGAAACCAGTCTGCCTCTCTCCTCTCGGTCATGTCTGGATCAGAGAACCTGTTTCACGTGGGGTGGGCAGTGCATGGCCATCACAGCTGGCTAGTTAACGTTCAGCCACCAGGTTCCTGTGAGAATGTTATTCATCTGTCTCTCAGCCCACAGCGCCTCAGGGAGTTTAAATATGGTGCTGGGGCACTTGAGTTCTGCCAAAGCCACCCATGCTCTGACCAGGCAGAGATGCTTAGCCACAATTCAACTCCCCAGGTACAGGGGTGTGGGGTATAGAGTTCACGCCCCCTTGAGGGCTGATGATTCAAGCAAGTTATTTCTTCTAGCATTTGGCTCCCTCAAAGAGATTCCAGGACTTTCCTCTGATTGCCTCTAGGTGGCTAGTCCACCTAGATCATCCAGAAGCTTGATGTAGATTTAGAATCTCAGAGCAGACAGAAACTTTGAGAGAGCATATAGCCCAGTCCGTTGACAGATGAGGAAGCTGACACCCACAGAGGCTACAGGACGTAGGGAGAGGTGAAGGCTGGCTGCATACTAGGCAATCCAGGCGAGCAGCCCCTGCTCTGGCAGCCTCTGCCTGTCCACCATTGGCTCCTTCCCTTTGGCTCCTGGCCCCTCAGCTCTGCTCAGTGTCCCCTTAGAGCACACACCAGTCTGACACTTGTCTCCACAGGTGGTGCTCGCAGTGGAGTGCCTGCTGTTTTCCATGGGACTTTGGTGCAGCTGTGGAGTGTGCCCTGCTCCCCTGGGCCTCACTGGACAGTCTTTCACTGCTGCCTGGTGTGTGGGCTGCAGCCTTTGCTGGCATCACCGGCCCGTCCTGGAGCTAAGAGAGTGACCGAGCCTTGTCGCTAGCCACTTGCCTGTTGGATTGAGATGCATGTGCAGTGATTTTGGCAGGAGATAAGATATTATTCATTTGCCATGTGTGGATCTCATGGCTCTGTGTAAAATAGGAAGGGAAAGTTGGTAAAATACAGGTATTTTATGTACGTGACTTTGGTCTTTCTCATTTGAAATTATCACAAGGGGAACCAAGGCTCCCCTGTTTTCACCGAGATGGTGACTGTCAGTCATAGCTCTTTATGACATGAGGAGTCTAGGCGTCAGTCTCAAGGTAAGGATTCTGTCAGCCCAGGTCTCCTCTTGAGTTCAGGCAGTCATTCTTGGTTCTACTTCTTAGGTAAAGAGGAAATAATGTTCCCCTCTCATTGCTTCCCAGATCTTTCCTGAAGCTTTGGTCTTTGCTGGCAAATCCACATTGATCTACCTTGGGGAGAAGAAATGAGCGGTGCAGGCGATTCTGGCTATAGTTTAAAATCACAGAATCAAACCTTAGGCTTGACTTTCAAAATAGGATGTGTTAGAGAAAAGAGAGCTTGGGTTAAATTGTATCTTTTCTATTCCCTACCTAAAACAGAGAGAGAGAGAGAGAGAGAGAGAGAGAGAGAGAGACAGACAGACAGACAGACAGACAGACAGACAGACAGACCGACCGACCGACCGATCATTGAGCTTGAATCCATAGAATTAACCATACCATCAGAGGCAGATTGGAAGAGAGGAAGCAAACATGGAGGTATCCTTCTTAGGGGCCTTAGAAATTTACAGGTATGACTTCCAAATATGTCTGAGCCACACTGTTCCAGGTCAGCTTGGTCTTATATTGGCCAAAGTCAGAGAGACAAAGCATGTGCAAACAAGCCTACTGACTCCCGGTCCAGTGCTCGGTTTCACTATACCACGTTACTCGTTGCCTGGACTGACCTTTCCAAGCTGGTCCATGACTCACCAGAGCAAATCGGTCTCGTGGCATTATACTCATACCAGCCGCTTTGTTCCCAAACTCAGTGATCTTCTGTAATCATCAAATACCTTATGGCTTTGAATGACTTTTGATTGTTTCACAAAATCAGACTCACCAATAGAGAATGAAGTTTTGCCACCATTAGATATTTTCGGATCCTGAATACATTCTGAAAATGGCAGTCAGAAGTGCTTTAACCAAAGGCAGTGTTGCAGGAGTGTGTGGGTTGTGCGTTTGGGGAACCGTGCCTAGTTTCGCCAGTTACTGCTGAGTTATTTGGATAAGTTTACTTAATTTATCTGGGCCTCAGTACCTCATCTATAAGAGGGGAGTAATAATAGAACTTAATTCAAAAATTATTGTGAGGATGACATTGCACATAATAAGCACTAAAAAGAATATATTTGCTATTATTATTTTATTATTTTTCCTTTTGTTTTTGGGTCAGTCTCCCACAGCTGTACATGTTATCAACCAATGCAAATTAATACAGTACAAAGAATAGGAACAATCAAAGGACTAAAGAGTAATGATGTTAGCAGGTGAGGTTTATGCAGTCGTTCAACAGATATTTATTAACCATCTACTATGTACCAGACACGGAACCACATATTGGGGTGAATAAGACAAATATGGTCCTACCTTCGTGAATCCTCGCTCCTCTTGCAGGGGAGACAGACATTTATGGGTAAATTACCAGTGTGCAGAGCATTGCCACCTGGATGCCCTGTGTCTGAGAGAGGAAGAAGAGAGTGGAAACCATTCTGGTGGCCACTCCACTGCTCCAACCAGGGGAACACAGCCATCTCCCTGGAAATCAGTTTGTTTAAATTTAACTCTAGGGGGAACAACACAGCCGTTCCATTTCCAAACTGGAATTCTCCCCCCATGTGTTTTTGGGAAGCACAGATGCCTTGGCGTTTTCCCTCTAACAATAACAGAGATTGTTCACAATTATGAATGGTTTTGGTTGACTTCAGCTCCAACAAAACCATGAATCATTTCATAACTTCTGAAATTGCAAAGAAATAACAAACACTCTGGCTCCAGAAAAAAAAAAAATGGACACATTATGAAGCACAACGTCCTCTAAATTAAAATGTGAATCCTTTTTTGTTTGTTTAGCAGCTGCACATTGCAAGGCCAGCTGGCAGTGGGTAAAAAGCCAAGTTAGTGTCTAGGTACCTGGGGTACCACTTGTACAGTCTCATCTGTGGAAGCCGTAGCTGCCCACGACATAAACTTCTCTCCCCATCTTTCTCAGAGCTTGGGGCCAGCAGCATTATTTCATATATTCTGCTCCGTTCTGAGGACGTGAGGGTGAAAGGAGATGCTTGGGCTGAGGCTCAGGTGGCAGAAGTCTCCATCGTGGACCTCATCGTGAAGACACCCCCCCACACACACTCTCCTGTGGGATCACTTTGTTCAGCACACCTGTTGTCTCCTCCTGATGTCTGGCCCCAAGGTGAGGTTTTCAAAATGTAGACTGAGAGGTTCAGGCTTGCCCCGATCTGTGACAGCCTGTGAGGTACCAGCAGGGCCTGGGGTTGGAGCAGGGCTGAGAGACAGGTTGGCAGCTCCGTATCTCCCCGCCTCATCGGGAAAGCTGCGTCCTTGCCTAAAGGCTGCAGACACACACACGTCCTTGGTTGTAGTCCCGCCTTGCCGGCCTGTGCAGGCAGAGGCACGGCGGGCCCTGACACCCCGGGACTGAGACCAGACTGGGGAGGCGGGGACAAGCACATGACCACAGTGCCACAGTCGCACGGTCTCGCTTTTCCATCCAGTTGACATTTTTTTCCATGTTAGTAATGTCAACATAGCTATAAAAACTTCCTGAAAAGGTACTTCTTTTAGAAAACAGGCTCAGGGGAGCAATTGTTCTCCCCAGGTCTGCTTCCACTCCTGGTCAGTTCCCACACTGGGGCTGCAAGACAGACAGCGGCAGACCCATTGCCACAGTGTGCCTTGTCCACACACACGATTCTGGAATAATATTTTTGTTACACAATTAACACCTATTTATTTTAGATAATTTAGGATATATAGACTTTAAAATGGAAGAATATAAATATGACCTGTATTCCTAGTACTCAAAGGAAACCATAGTTAGCATTTTGGTGTATGTATTTCCAGACTTCTTTCAATGCACATGTATGCATTTTTAAATAAAAACTAGCATCAAACTGAACATGTAATTTTGTTGCCGCTCTTTACACTCAGTGTACACTCTGAACACTTTCCCACATCAACAACTATAGTTGCATATGGCTTTTTAATGCCCCGCAGACATCTCTGCAGATCTCTTAGAAGAGCTATCCTTTTGTTTCCCTTTCCCTGCCATCAGAGATGGGGACAACAGAAAATACACTTTCCTGTTGCATCACACACTCGCATCTTGGGCCTTTTTAAAAGTTTCGCACTGGCCCATCGCAGATACTGCCTGAGACCCTTGCTGCTTTGGGCTGTAACCATGAGTATGCCTGGTGCCCCAGCCAACGCATTGCTGAGGTGGAGGCCAGCTCTGCAAAATGCACCACCCACTTTGGCACCATGGAAACTGTGGGAAGTTGCATCGGTGTCATTCATGGACACTGAGTAGGTTGTCTCAACAGAGAAAAAGGAATTATGTTTTAATAGAACTCCCTTTAATAATTATGTGCCTTAATATTAATAAAAAGCACCTGCGTCATCAGTCCCCTCCCTAGCCTAGACTTCCTACAGCTGGGAAAACCCCTCCAGGGACAGAGAGGGTTCTAGGGACATACTGGACAGGCCCTGTCCCCAGCTGCTGAGCCCACAGGGACTGACAAAGCACCACCTGATAAGAATATATGTTTCCTTTTGGAGCCTACATCCCTCGGTGCTGAGGCATCACATTCTTCAGGTTTTAATGAAGAATTGTTTCAGTGATGAGTTCTAGAGATAATTGTTGGATGTTTATTATTCTGGAAAAAATGTTAAGAATTGCTGTATTTAGAGCAGATTGGCAAATATGGAACCACTACATATAATCCAGGTGCTGGAACCTTGCAGATGTCATTGTTATCACTAGAACCCTTGGCCATGGATCTCTTTCCCAAACTGGATGAATAGCATTGCCCATTATTCACTAAAAGATAGAAACAGATACAGCTATGGCGGTGCCTTGGGATGGGAGGGCGCACATCTCAGCAACTGTCCTCAAGCCACTTAAAAAGGAATCCTGTCTTCATAAAGATTCTTATAGGTCAAGTTTTGAATCAGAAGAACAACTTACAGTTGTCCTCTGGGGCAACAGAAGATGAATGGGTGGGTGGTCTAGAAAGAAGAGGCAGGAGGCTTCTTACAACACGCTCTGATTCCAGGGCAGGGGCACTGCCAGCCCCTGATGTAATTTTATGATGGAGATGGGAACTCTTCCTCAAGTGCATCTGAAGGCCACTGCAGCAGCCTCCAGGCCCCCTCATTGGTTTTAGCTCAGTGTGTTCAGGGCTCAGGGGTGGTAAGAGGCAGGCTCGTGTGGACCCCATTCCCTGACCTGTGCTCATCTGTCTGGTCATGGAAGTATTTTGCTGCCTCTCCATAACTGAATTCAGTTTAGTAAACTGCCATTGGGCCCTGCTGGGGCCTTGCCTATGGTGTCTTGGAGTGGAGAGATGTGAACACCAAGAACTTCATGCCACAGGGTATATCAGTTTGCAACCACTTCCCTAAAATGGCTTGGAGTTTTGTACCATCAATCCATCATGGCCCTATTTAATGCTTTTATTGAGTGGTGGGTCCTATATGTATATACATTTGAGCCACCAGTTTGATGGCATTTCTTCTGTTGTCTTGCACTTTTTTTCCCATTTTTAAAATTTCAGCATATTATGGGGGTACAAATGTTAAGGTTATGTATATTGCTGATGTCCCCCCTCCCCTCTCCAGTCAGAGCTTCAAGCATGGCCATCCCTCAAACGTTGCACATCTAACTCATTATGTTTGTATATACCCATCCCCTCCTCCCCCCTCCCACCCACCCGACACCCGATAAATGTTATTCCTATATGTCCACTTAGGTGTTGATCGTTAATACCAATTTGCTGGTGAGTACGTGTGGTGCTTGTTTTTCCATTCTTGAGATACTTCACTTAGTAGAATGGGTTCCAGCTCTATCCAGTAAAATACAGGAGATGTTATATCACCATTGTTTCTTAAAGCAGAGTAGTACTCCATGGTATACATATACCACATTTTATTAATCCACTCATGTATTGATGGGCACCTGGGTTGTTTCTACACCTCTGCAATTGTGAACTGTGCTGCTATAAACATTCGAGTACAGGTGTCCCATTTGTAGAGTGTCATTTGATCTTTTGGGTAGATGCCCAGTAGTGGAATTGCTGGATCAAATGGTAGATCTACTTGTATCGCTTTAAGGTATCTCCATATTGCTTTCCACAGAGGCTGAACCAGTTTGCAGTCCCACCTGCAGCGTAGGAGTGTTCCTCTTTCTCCACATCCATGCCAACCTTTATTGTTTGGGGACTTTTTGATAAAGGCCATTCTTACTAGAGATAAGTGATATCTCATTGCAGTTTTGATTTGCATTTCCCTGATGATTAGAGATGTTGAGCATTTTTTAAATATGTTTGTTGGCCATTATTCTATTTCCTTTTGAAAAATTTCTGTTCATGTCCTTTGCCCA